GTTAGCAGTCCAACAGTATACTCATAGAGAGGAATTACCCATGTGATTTCAAACAGCATGTTATAATCACACAAGATTTCAAAAAGTTTGTGGAAAAGGAAAAGATAATGTAGCTTTTCCATAAACCTTCTGAAGTTCCTTTATCAATTCCTAGGACAAAATGAATCAAAGAATATTAAGCTACATTCAGTGGTCCCATGGTTAGTGGTAAGCTTGGCAACACATTGGTCTAATTAAGTACCAAAGCTTCCAGTATTAGTACAAAAAACACCAGCATGGAGGTCGGTTCCGACCCATACAGACCTTATGCACAACAGAATGAAACGCTGCACTGTCCTCACAATTGCTGCCATGCTTGAGCTCAGTGTTGCGGCCACAACAATACATCTCTCTGAGGGCCTCTCTTCTTCATTGTCTCTCTACTTTACCAAAGGTGATGTCATTTTCCAGGGACTGGTCTCTCCTGAGAACATGTCCAAAGTATGCAAGCTGAATGAAGTCTTGCTATCCTTGGCTCTAAGGAACACTCTTGGCCTTACTTCTTCCAAGACAGATTGGCTTGTCCTTTTAGCATTCAAGGTACGGTACTTTCAATAGTCTTCTCCAGTGCCACAATTCAAAGGCATCTATTTTTCCTTTTTTTATTCAAAGTCCAACTTTCACACACATGTGGAAAACTGGATGAGAAAGCAAGCAGCCAAATTCCCCATGCTCATAATCATAGTCTGGAAGGTCAGCTCCAATGGGAGAAGCTCTCGTGGTTATGAGACTAAAAATGACTTTTTCTCTTTTTAAAATCATTTTATTGTAAGCTTGTATAACTCTTACCACAATCAATACATGCATCATGTCAAGCACATTTGTACATTTGTTGCCATCATCATTCTCAAAACATTTTCTTTCTACTTGAGCCCTTGGTATCAGCTCATTTTTTCCCTCCCTCCCCTTCCCTTCCCTCATGAACCCTTGATAATTTATAAATCATTATTTAAAAATGACTCTCAATGCACAGTCTCATGACTGAAAATAGTAAAGGAACAGCTTGGCTGTTCACTGTGTTCCCGGAGGTTATCTGCAGTTAAGAGCAATCCGATTCTATTGCCCTTCCCTAAAGAGTAGCTAACTCCCTTCTGATGTCTTCTTCTGATATTGATCATATACTGTTTCTCTGGGGAGAGCTCAGAGGCATACAAGGTTAGGCTGTTGACTCAACCTATGACCTGCTTATTCTATTACCCTTTCACTCTATTACTACCTGTATGCCTGTTGAAAAATTTGTAAGCCTCATGATTATATATATTCATTGAAAAATATGTTTGCTCTCTTGATCCTGATATTGGGAGGAGCCTCTGTGCCTCACTTTTCTATCTGTCTTATTTTCCATAATAGCAAAGCCGCTCCAAGGACCTATTAAGTTTGTGGGGCTGGAACCTACACATGCAGAGGCGGCAATGGAAAAGACCATGGCTTCGGCCAGGCACGCCTTAGTCCCCAAAGCAATATCCTTGCTTTCAATACTCTAAAGAGGTCTTGTGCAGATCTTCCTAAGGCTATTCATTGCTTGAGCTCTTGCCTGCTGCTGTCATGAGCATTGATTGTGGATCCAAGCAAGACAAAATCCTTGACAACTTCAACCTTTTCTCCATTTACCATGATGTTACCTACTGGTCCAGTTGTGAGGATTTGGGTCTTCTTTACATTGAATTATAATCCATACTAACGGCTGGAATCCTTGATCTTCATCAAAAAGAGCTTCATGTCCTCTTCGCTGTAAGCAAGCAAGGTTGTGTCATCTGCATATTGCAGGTTGTTATTAAGCCTTCCTCCATTCCTGATGCCACATTCTTCTTCATATAATCCCCCTTCTCCAATGATTTGCTCAGCATACAGACTGAGTAAGTATGGTGAGAGGACACTGCCCTGTTGCCCACCTTTCCTTACTTTAAATCATGGAGCATGTCCTTGTGAGCTAGATAGGAATCTCTAAATACTTGGCGGCTTCCAAGAGTTCATGGAAACAAAGAATTAAAAGATAATGAAACATTTTTGTGTGTTTGTCAGTGCATCTCTCATTTGCATGTTTTAAACTTTTTGAAGCTCCTTGTATAATTTCCCACTAGTAGGAACCAGGGCCAGTTGGAGAAGTGGCTAGTCAGGAAGTGTAGAAGATGAAATTAGAATATCTCATTCTACCAGAATATCTCACTACCAGATTCTGTGAGTCTAGTACAAAAGTCAAGAAAATGAACCTTTACGGGATTTCCAAGGACCGAAAAAGTGGGGTTAACTGAGGACCAAAAAAGTTTGATTGCAATCAAGTGAAGCAAAAATATGCAAAAATCCAAGGGATTGTCATGCTAAAAACCAAAGAAAAGACAACAACAATATATATATATGCCTTCATTTCCATTTAAAGGTTGCTAGGGTACTAAATCATTATTTTAAAAAAATATTTCAAGGGACAGATCTAAGCCTTTATCTTGCCTTTCCTGTATGGACGATATATTTCAGGATAGCCTAATAGTTGGTAAAAGCAAGCTTTCCTTTATATGTTAAAAAAAAAAATCACAGGTAAAAAATGCAGGAAGGAGGAGAACTGACCCAGACATCAAACATCGATAGTTGCCAAAACCTCTTGGTAAAGGTTTGATGAAGAATTCTATAATGGCTGCATGAGGCTGATACCACCTGAGCTAAAACTATGGCGGACACTATGCCTCCCAGAATAATGCAAAGGGAAGTGTACATCACCACCTACGAAATATCCTCAAAGCTAGCAAACCACAACCAGAACCATGTCTGCCTACGCATCAAACTTACAGCCTTTCTACTTACAGAATACAGAGCAGAGAGAGAAACAATCTAAAGGACATTATGAGCATACCATCAGCTTGATCTATAAGGTGGGAAGGTGTACAGCACAAAGGGCATTGTTTCTTTAGCAAACAGAATGGTACCAGAACAAGGGAGCGAGCTGTTAAAGATGAAGAAACTTGTAAGATCTTAGTTTGGATCCTGATTCATTTTTGAAAGAATTGGCCAAACCAAATAGTCTGGTATTAGAAGATACGTGATAATTTTGTGAGGATCATAATGGTACTGCCTTTTGGAGATACAATCATGGGCAAGGGCATGCTTGGGTTTGCTTTAAAATGTTCTGGGCGGGGGCGGGGCGCAGAGTAGCTGTGGGTGGGCTGGTGACGATGGCACCGGAAGAGGGTGTCGATGGCTCTTACAGCTGGTGGTGGGTGCGCGCAGGGTCACTGTGCACTCTACTTTTCTATGTTTGGAAATTTCCTTAGCAAAAAATAAAGAAATAATCCAAGCTATAATATTTGGCTAACATTTTAAAATGGTAATACACACTTGGCTGAGGTACAGGGACTAGGTAGTTTCAAAGGAAGTAATCAGAGTAACTTTTCTGAAGAACAATTGAGCAGTACGTATCAAATGTCTTCTAAGAGTTTTATACTCAACCCAGCACACTTACTACTTTCAAGAACTGATTCTAAATAAATATTTATAAATGTGCTCAAAGATAAATCTAAATTAACCTCCCAAAATAACTTGTTTACATGAAAAATTTTTAAGTAACAATATATCATCATTTTATAAAAGAATACTAAACCACATGGAAAACGTTCATGATAAACTGTTAGGTGAAACAAACCAACCAAACAGAACCAAACCCACTACCATCACAGCATCCCTAGAGGACAGACTAGAATTGCCCCTGTGGGTTTCTGAGGCTGTAGATGTTAATGAAAACAGAAAGCCTCAGTTTTCTCCATCGGAGTGGCTGGTGGGTTTGAGCTGCCAACCTTGTGATTAACAGTCCAGTTTATAACTCACTACACCACCAGGGTTTCTTTTACATGGAAAAGAGGAAGCTGCATATTAATATATGCATTTTGGTACTATTTCATTTTCTTAAAAATTATTTATATATCTAGAAAAAACTGAGATTAGTCAATGTGATGTTAATAGTGGTTATTTTGAATTTATGAAATTAAGGTACTTTTATTGATTTTGGGTTTTCTACTTTTGAGTATGGCATGTTTGCAATAATTTTTTTTCTTTTTTAAAGTTCCAATCTGGATGAATTCCTAAGAGTGGCTAGTAGTGGAATATTAAGTGGCCACAAACTAAATGACAGAAGGGTGATGGGTCAGGGCCAAGTAGTCCTGTGAGTGGTAAATTTTAAAAAGGAGAGCCCTTTAACAGCTCCACTGTGAGAAGGATTACACTATAAATTTCAAAGCTGAGCATGTCAGGGAAGCAGGAAGTTAAAAGAGGATTCACATTTATTTAAGTTTCTTTTGGAGAGGGCTAAATGCCTAAATCAAACTACTGCAGATGACTGAAGAGGTTTCTACATTTGAAATCCTAGCACAATTCTGCAAATCACCAAAGTAGCACATTATATCATTTTTTCCTACCTAAATTTCTATTTTGTTCACCATCTGGATTTTGTTTAAAATTTCTCAGGGAAATTTATTTATATTCAGAGTTCAAAAAGACAAATTTACAGTATTATTATACAAATACAGTTTTGTCGATATGAATTTAGTTTATACTTGCATAGGTTCAGGTCACACAGAGCAAATCTAGTATTTGTGAATAATTTTGACATATTAAAATCTAGAAGGTCATGTACAAGTGTACGTTTTATACATACACTTGTACATGAGTGGTCCACTACTCACTCCCGGTCATGCGGTCAATTCTGGCCCACAGCGACCATAAAGGACAGAGCAGAACTGCCTCGGTGGGTTTCCGAGACGGTAACTCTGCCGGACGAGAAGGCCTCATCTTTCTCTGGAGCCGGTGGTGTTTTGAACTGCTGACCTGCAGCTCGCAGCCCACTAAGCCGCCAGGGCTCCTGCGTACATGTGGTCAGTGACTGGAAAACGAGCTTTCTTCACGCGTCCTACCCCAGCTCTACTATTCCAGTCAGCTTCTTCCTAAATCACGCAAAGCAAAGCAAACGTCCAGACTACCTGGTTTCCACACTTTCTGTGGTTCTTCATAGTCTGCGCTTTCTGGATTTGGAGAGTCTAGAAAGCCGACCTCTTCTGTGACACGTTCCCCTTCCTGTCCCTTGAGGCTGTCCTCCTCCTCCTGAGCAGGGGTTTCCAACTCTGATTCTTCTGAATCAAGAAAGATCTGACCAGCGACGACTCTGCCAGCGGCCGTGTGATCCTTCACTGACTCATCTGACGGCAAGGAAGTCTGGGGACACAGAGTATCTTTAGAGTTTAACAGGACCCAGAACCTGCCCCAACTCCATCTGACCATCTGATTGACGCAAAAAGATTTCCATTAGCTCCCTGAAGGCGCCACCAATCTTTTCATTTCAATCAGTTACGCCTATGATGGAGACTTCCCATTCTGAGATACATCCTTCCTGTTCTTACACTGGACAGGAAGCACTGGCCACTGCCAATTTCTGTACATACCTTGGAATCTAAGGACTCATCCTGGCTGCCTTCTTCATCTGCAAAGAGATTTGAAGATAATGCCATCATCACCAGGGAAATTACTGCTATCATTTTAAAAAGAAAATATTACAATCAGAGATTAGATCAATAATCCTAGACCTATGGAAAACCTGGTTGTGTTCTGTGACTGTTTGGAAAAGTTTATGTGGGGAAAACAGGCTATATTTTTCTTTTGCTCATAGACACCTTTGTTTGTTACACAGACAGGAATACCACCAAAAGAACAGATACTTCTTCAGGTTCCACCAATTCTTCTATAGATTTTTAGTCTTGCTGAGAACGAACGAGTTACTTAGCTCATAAGAATAAGTCTCCGGCTTCCATGAATTTCGTTCTGCTCAAGATCTGGAGCGATGGCCACCTATTTTAGATCAGCATTTTAGTGTTCACTAAGATTACTAAGGTTTGAAAACTAAGATTTTGACAGTGGTTGCCAGACAAAAGACATTTAGGATTTTTGTTCCACTTTACTACGAGACAACCAGATGCAAGGAAAAAATAATAGCACTGCACTAGCCTGAATTGAAACACAAGAAGTCTGTGTAGTAAGAAATCAACAATAACAGAAAAATGAAACATCAACTAGTCGTTTTCTTCTAAGTTCACTCAGGTTACTTTGGGTTTTGTCCAAGTGCATTAGGCTTCCTTCTGTTCCTCCTGTGTTTTCCGGCTGTTACTTCTACTCTGGCCTTGTGTTCTTCTTTTTTCCTGCTCTTCTATAAACACAAGCAACGAAGGCCTCACGCCCAAATGTTTGATCTCTGTATTCCTTGCCAGTTAACGAAACACAAAACAAACAAAACCAAAAACTGATAGATGATCTCTAAGTTTCCTTGTGGCACTTCAAGTTTCCTGATTCTATACAGAAGCAAGGTTTGGTATTGCATCTTCTATAAACTGTTAACCAAGAGACAAAATGCTGTAATGCCACACGTTTTACTAGAAAGTTTGGTAATACAGTTGCTATTTATCTTTGAATCATATGGCTAATGTATCTTAAAGATTATCCACACGTTACTATCAGTACTAAGCTAACTTTAAAAAGCATAACCAACTCATTATGCACAAAACACACACCTTGATTTCACAGGGTCTTTTGGGGGTGGTGGTGGTGGTGGTGTGGGATATCTGAAGAAATCAATCTGTGAGTGAAGCCTTGCCATTTACAGATGCTCTGTTAATTCAAAGAACATCTAAATACAGCTACTGTTCACATCCATTACTTTTAGATTACCTTCAAAGGCAGTTATATTTTTGGCAGGTGGGAAAGGGGCTGTATTAGTCCCATAGTAACCATAACATTTAAGTAGTAATGTCAAGTAATTACCAATCACCTTTTACACCAATCTTTTCCTAGGTACTCTTAAACGCTAACATATGGTTCAAATCAAAGCAGGAGATTCAGCCAAAAACCTCCCAAACAATCCAGTCTCAGCAAATCTCTGGATAAAGAAAAAAGTTCATTTCTACTATGTGTGAGTGTTTTTAACTAATCATGCACATTGGCCACTTAATTGATCAAGAGCAGAAATCAAATGCGACAGGTTATATAGGTAGTCAACAGGTAAATAATATATGGAAGATAAAAAGCCCACCACCACAGTCAATGACTCAATTCTGACTCACAGTGAACCTATAGGGTGGAGTACAGCGACCAGTTCTGTTTCTCTTACAGATGCAGACTACCACAGCTTTCTTCTGAGAGCAGCTGGTAGATTTGAACGGTAGACTTTTGGCTCGTAGGTGGACTCTTTAAACACTGTACCCCCAGAGCTCCAAAATAATGTAGACACTCATAAGCAAATCACAACACATGTAAGTTTGACACACTCTACGTAGTTAGAATTCTAGGGCAGAACTCAAAGAGACATGGGAGCTTGGGACATCAGGATTATTTCACATGAATTGCATCATGCTTCTCTCGCTCACTCCCTCTCTCTTCACAGCCTAAGAATGTAAACTAAGGTTACTGGAAAGTAAGAGAATGCTTTCTCATTTACTAAAATAGGAAAGCCTATTCCAGATGGTACTCTTACACCATAGCTAATTTTTAAACTATTCCTCTTTCAAATCGATCTACTCATTTACCTAACACTTTTAAAGAAGCTGCTTCTAACCTAAGTACTTCTGATATTGCAATAATGCAGTAAGAATTACAGTCACGGAAGTTCTGCATAAGTAAAGAAAACAACAAGAAGATCAATACTTTTGTAAGGACATAAGGACCAAACAGCAAGAACAAATGGACAAAAAGTCAGTGAAGAGCTATGCATTTTACTCAACATGATCAAACTGGTGGTTTATTTTCCTAATGGTGCATCTTCTTTTGAGTGAGATCAATTTTCACTGTTATTATACTAGCTAGCAGAGTTGTATAGTACCAAGGTTACTCAGGGAAAAATGATTTAAAAATGCTTCTTCCTACTTGTGATGTAAATGAAAGAGATCTCCACACCTGAACACACACAGAAAGTCTAAAGAATTTGGTGAAAAGAGAAGAGACATCCTGTCTTCTGTTCTGCACTGATTTGGTCCACACCCTGGGATACTCTGGATTAGAAATTACTACAAAGCCGAGGCTTACAGAGCTGGGTTCGAGCCCTGGCTTCATTTTGACATGCATAATTGTACATTGTAAGCTTGATCCATCTCTATTTTTTCAATCTGGGGACAGTGCTGTATGTCCTGTGGGCGTACAGTAATACTGAGGAAACAAAGCCATGAAATTTAATGTCATGAAATTTGACTGCAATCTGAAAGCTATCCATTCATGGCATTCGTGTAAACTATTACCGTAAGTGTAATAGTTTATCTAATTAAAAACCCTGGTGGGCACAAAGAAAAAGAAGAGCCTTCGCCCATGCACGCCAAAAATCAATAATTCTGAGCAAATAGAACAGTTTTCACTATTATCTTGGAAAAAGAGAACAGTCTATTCAAACCATTTCTAGCCAAAGCATCATAGTTTTACATGCATCTGAAACAAGAGTCAGTAACCACTACCATTCAAGCTTCAGAGCATCACAAAAGTATTATATTGGTTTTAATATAGGAACAAATCTTTAACTCTAAACTTTAGGAACGAGGTAAACTCAAGGGCCGTGTATGTACAATTTATAAAATGGTATCAAGCCCAGTACTGCCTTGCTTTCTTTACAACATGCACATACACCTGTCTTAGTTTGAAGTAAAGTTTTAACCTTTACCAAAGAAACCCACAGGAGCAGTTCTACTCTGCCCTAAGGTTGCTATGAGTTGGAATCGACAGTTTTAACTTAGACAGGAACCATAGCAAATATCTCTTGAATATATTTCTCTGCTTACATTAGTACAACTCTAAGAGTAAACACTTAAGTAGCAAGAGTTTTCTGTCTATCCAAGTCAACTGCATTATAACTTCTGAGAATGTATCATCTTTACTGGCAAGGAGATCTAAGAATATGAAACTGAGGGTAAAGAAGGCACAAGAAAACGTAGGTTTTCATTTTCTTTAAACTTTGCAGACTGGGTTGGGGTTGGGTGTGGGGTGGTATACACCACGCTCTTTAACTAGTTAGTAGTTCTCAAACTTTAGCATGAAGACCCGCAGTGGAGCTTGTTGGACTGCAGACACCCAGACCTATTCCTGACTGAAACCCACAGCACAAGTCAGAGGGCTTCTAAAGCACTGCTGTTGGCTGAGAAGGGGCAGCATCTGCTTGCTGATTTTCAAGTGGTCTCACAAATCAAATTATGAATAGGATTTTAGGTTACAACTTCTTTTAGAAGTAGAGCGCTTTTATGGTATTCATTTGCAACTAGGGCAGATAATTTGGAGATTCAAATAACCATCTGGAAAATGTTCTATTGCAGGGGAAAAAAAAGTTGACTTATTTATTTCCTGCCTTGTTCCCAAAAAGGCTAAAAGCTGCAGACAGCTGTCTTCTTAACTGAAACCAATTAAAACCCGAAATTTCATTGTACTAATTGCTTATTAACAACTTGAAACTCGACGTTTTCAGAGGCAGCCAGATTAAACATTAAAAAAATAAATCATTTTCAGAACCACGTGTAAATTAGCTAATTGGAAACTGCTATTCGTAAGCATATGGATTTCTAGATATAAAAGGTCGTTTTGCCATTCATTCTAAACTTACCGGGACCATGATTTTTCTTCAAAATCATAAAGTCACCGCCAATATACATTGGTCAATTCAGAAATACTGTGATAGAAATACCTGTATCCCTTTTTTCTTTAAAAGAAAGAGGCATGGATGGCACGTTACATTAAACGTCTTCACTGTAAAATTACAAAGAAACCAGTGTCCAGCTAAGCAGTAAACCACCAGACCACTGGCAGCCTCCTGGCCTCCACGGTCCCAGCTCTGCCCGAAGTGACAGCCTCAGGCGTGTCAACAGTGCACCTGCCCAAACGCCCAGCTCCGGCCCGGCGCAGCTTAGGGTCCCCACCGGGTGGGTCAGGGAAGCTCCGGCTCGGCTCGCATGCGGCCAATGCCTCCGCGAAAGCCAGGTAAAGTTTGTTACGTGCAAGAGCGCTGTGGGCAGGCTGACCCCACGCCCTTTCTTGCCCTGGCTCCAGTCCCCTGGACATCTTCTCTGGCCCACACCAACTGGAGCCCCACGAGACGGCCACCGGCCAGCGTAAGGTGTGGCCGGAGAGCGCGGCCCCAGCCCCGGCCCCCGCAGCAAGAGACAGGACTGGGGTGGCGGCTCCGGGCCTCCAGCCCGAAGGGGCGGATACTGACCCGAAGACGCCGAGGCCAAGCCCAGCAGCGCCGCACAGAGCAGCAGCGTCCACCCAACGCCGACCCGCATTCTGCTCTCGGGGCCGCTGCCACCCCCTGGAGCTGTCGCCTTCGCTTCGGCCACCACCTCCTCGGCTACCGCTACCGCCGCCTGGGCACTACTGCTCTTCCTGCTCCGGGCTCCTTCCTCCGCCCCTTCCCAGGCCTCCCTGTCGCAGCGCGCAGCCAATCCCCGCCCGCCGCCGCCGCCTCGCCACCCAATCGCCGCGACTGCCCGTCCGTTCCCATTGCCCCGCCCCCAGGAGTCTCCCATTGACCAATCGTTGTGCAAACTCCCCACACAGGCTTTGCTGGTTGGACCACGGTCACACCGACATGGCCCCAGCTGATTGGTAGCTCCGTGAGCAGGATTTGGTTTGGGGACTCCTCTCCCGGAATCAGAATGTGAGTCCAGGGCTGGGAGACACGAAAAGCCAAGGCGAACTACAACTCCCGCAATGCAATTCAGGTGCCTTTCTTGGCGTGTGTTCTTGGGTAACGTAGTCCATTATGGGGCAAGCGTTACAGGTGCAAGTGGCTGCTGAAGCAAAGGGAACTTACCATACAGCTGGGCTAGATATTAGTGCAAGGCCCATCTCCAGGATTTAAAAGCCTATATATAAAGGAACACACTCCCTGAGGTTAAGAGTTTTCAATGTATTAAGCTCCTCTTTCCTATTTATTTTAATTAGAAAACCTGAACCTACATAGTGATTAGAGGACGGAGAATAAATGCAAGGGCTAGATTGAATTCGAGTAAAAGCATTTTCCCCTCCTCTGAGAAAAAACAGTACCGGTATACAAATATCAGCGTGCAACTCACGACCCACCCTCCTTCTCTTATAAAGCGAAATGAAATACAGGCTGCGCAGATCACTGAAGGCTAGCATTCATTTTAAACCAGGACGTCAGATAGTAATCATCTGAACTATTTGCCAAGAGCCCTTGCAACACCTTTTCAAACACTTGTCCTTATTCCTCTCTCTTTGTGAATTACGTTGTTCTCCTCTGCAGCTTAGGCAGGCTAAATCGGTGTGCGTTGAGGTAGGCGTAATAGAGATTGGATTTTAGAAATTGAAGTACTCCGTGCTCCAAGTCCCATCTCCAGGCCTGCTCCCAATGGATAGGAGCAGGTGTTCCCGTCCCTGCATCATCCCCTCCCCCTCACATCCACCCGCAGTCAGCTCCTTGTCTTGACACTTGGCCAGGCCATGTTCAGGTTTGGAAAGTTGACAATAGGCATAAACCTTAGCACTACTGGACATTTCTCTCCCATTTTCATAAAGAGGATGGAAAATAACTGCTGTTCTTCCTTCTTATCAAAGGGATGAAGGAAGAGGAAAATCCCCTGCCTAAAAAGATTCATTTTTTTTCTACTAAAATCTCATTAATGCTCATCTCTATTTTTGTCAATATGAATGTTTCCTCGGAGTTCCTCCAATTTAAACGGTTGAGTAAAATCTGTATTTTCCTTCTCTTTTCCTCATCTCAGAATCAAGTCTTATGAATCTGAACTGTGTAATCACTCCTTATGTGACTAATTTTCTCATTGTCATGATCCCCAAACCCCCATTTTCCCTTACATGGCTAATGCTAATTCTAATTTGAGTTCATTGACACTGTTCTCTCTCCATTTATGTTAGACAGGGTTCTCTAGAGAAAGAAAACCAGGAGATTTATGATTTTAAATATATTTATATAGATAGATATATACAACAAAAGAAATAAACAGCTAATTAGTCTATAGAGCAGTACAAATGGCTCAGTGCAACTTACTTCCGTGAGACAGCTAATACACTGGCAGTCCTTCAAGTCTTGAGGGCCGCTGGATGCAAGTCAAGGAAGCAGACAACTGAGTCCTCTGTAGAGAAATTCAGGCAATCAAGCCACAGGCAGCAAACAGCAAGGCAGGTCACCAACAGTCAGCCAGATGACAGGGTTGGACAGTCCCCAGCTCAAGGGATGTACCTCCCATAGCATGGTGAAGCAGGTCTTGAAGGAACCTCAAACTACAGCGACAAAGTCCACGGGTTAGGTGTCCCACTGGTAGTATACTCGCAACTTGAGGCAGAGAACCAGCAAAGGCAGCCGCACATTGGCCCAAACTTCACAGAGCAAGAGACAAGCAAGGCGAGGCTCGCTGAGTCATTTATCTGTCTGTCCTTCAATTAATCCCACGTGTTCATTGGCCAGGTTGGCACAATAAACCTACCTATCACACCATGATCAACCACACATGATAGCCAGGTTAATATTTATTTTTCAAATGTAATTAATTTATTTTAATAAATAATTTTATCGGGGACTCTTACAGCTCTTATAACAATCCATACATCAATTGTATTAAGTACATTTGTATATATGTTGCCATCATCATTTTCAAAACATTTTCTTTCCACTTGAGCCCTTGGTATCAGCTCCTCTTCCCCCCCACACCCTTGTGAACCCTTGATAATATATAAATTATTTTTATTTTCATGATTTACACTATTCACTGTCTCCATCCACGTTTCTGTTGTTCATCACGCTTGGAGGTGGGGGTGAGTGGGTGTTGTATGTCAATCATTGCGATTGATTCACCCTTTCTCAGGATAACATTTCTTAAACCCTATCCTTATTGAAAAAAAATTCAACAGCTGCCCTTTTCATAGAAAAACAAATTAGAACATCATCTACTCATAAAATAGAAGCTTAGGCAGACAATCCTAATGCTTCTGGGGAGAAACTTTTGTCTTCCAAGTAGACGCAGTGACTGTCTGATTGATAAACTTGGGAGCTGTTCACTGCTTAGTGGAGACCCAACTGCTTCCTTTAACTTTTTCCCCCTTTACTGGGTGTTCTTCTATTCAAAGGATTTAAATGGCTTGCGACCAATGTCCTACTCTTCTTGTATTGCTCCCCACACATCATGGCCTGGCTAGTGTGTGTGACTAATGCATTTAGCTATTGATCAAAAGGTTAGCAGTTTGAGTTCACCCAGAGGTGTCCTAGAAGAAAGGCTTAGGGATCTACTTCTGAAAACATAAACAGAAAACAAAACCAACATTGAAGGCTGATACACGCGGAGTTGTCCTGCGTGGTATCATTTCTATAGGAACTGCCTGGTAGTTTGCTTTCCCGGGAGCTCCATGAGCCTCTCCCCATCACACTTTTGCACTCTCTGCTGACATCTTTCCCAACTGCATCTGCGTTTCATGCTTACTGAGTCTTGGCAACTGGCCGTTCTTAGCCATCTCCATTTAGCTGAATGTCGAGAGACTAATTCTAACATCAGGATGAGCCATTCTATTCCTGTAAAGCATTGCAGTCTTGGGAACTCACAGGACAGTTCTACCCTGTCCTATGGTCACCGTGAGTTAGCATTGACTCCATGGAAATGAGTGTATTTTAAAAAATTATTTATAATATGGTTACCCTGATGGCACAGTGTTATGCATTAGGCTGCCAAATCGCAAGGTCAGCAGTTAGAAACCACTATCTGCTGCATTGGAGAAAGATGAGACTTTTTGCTCACATAAAGAGTTCTAGTCTCAGAAATACACAGGGGCAGGCCTGCTCTGTCCTATAAGGTTGCTATGAGTCCCAATCAACTAGATAATAGTGCATTTGAGTTTTATTCATAACATGGCCTTCTGAAGTGGATGGTAAACTTGCTGAGGCCAGAGATAGTAATATAATTCTATGTAGTGGAGCCCTGGTGGCATTGTGAATTAGGTATTGAGTTGCTAACTACAAAGCCAGAGGTTCAAACCCACCAGCTGCTCTGTGGGAGCAAGATGAGTCTGTCTGCTCCTATAAAGATGTACAGTTTTGGAAACCCTACCTGGGGTCCCTGTGAATTGGTGTAGTTCATGGCAGTGGGCACGGTTTTGGTTTGTATAGGATCAGACTTGCCATCTAGTAGCATTGGATAATTATGTGTTGATTGATTGATATACCTTACCTACAAAGTGTTTTAAGAATAGCCTTTCATTGAAGGTAATCAAGCGGCCATCAAGCTCAGAAGCAACAAAGCCCACATGGAAGAAGCACACCAGCCTATGCAACCACGAGGTGTC